CACCGCGCCCGAGCCCATTGGTTGTTGCCGCCGCGCGCGGGTCAGGCCCCGCCGCGCCCGCCTCCATTGGCCGCCCCGGGGGAACGTCAGTCATATGCAAATAAGGGCAGGGCGGGGCGGGCTCCGGTTGGCCCCAAGCCGGCCGGGGGCGGGACCGCAGTAGGAGGGTGGCAGGGAGGGCGCACTGCAGTAAAGGCTTGGAGCCAGGGGGGCGGTTCGGGGCTCCGCGCTGCGGAGGCACCGAAATTGTGTGTGGTGCTGTGTATGTCCAGTTTGCGCGAGGAACAGCTCGCGCGCGTCTTGGTCCTCCTCCCTTCACTAGCGCTTGGGCATGCACAGCTCCGCAGGGGGACCGCTGCGTGAAGGGTTGGTCCAGCCACCCCTGAGCCCTCACCAAAGCTCACACCAGCAGTCTCTCACACGCATACACACAGGTCCCTCAGACAGACTTTCCTGCCACACCCATTATCATCCACACCCCTCACTCAGCCTTACACTCACACTGCTTTATGCACGAAGTCACACCTTGCACCTGCTCACTTATGTACTACTACCTTCACACACAACCCGTCACTCCCCACCCACCATCATGCCACTACGAGACTCACCCACCCTCTTCAGATCACCCACTCCACACATGCATTGTCATACATGATGTCCCAGCCCACATCCACCAGCCCACATGAATCAAACAGACAACATACCACAGGCAGAATTCTCTCACACACTTCATCACTGCCACTGCCTGTCCATCAGCCCTCCTACCCCACAACCACTCATTCTACCCACATTCTCCCATTTCATGGTGCCCTCTACCCCCTAACAGGCTAACTCCTACAGACACCATCATACTGCCCCCAAACTCATCCCAATGAGCACTCACTACTTAAGTATCCTGACCCATCAGAGACGCAGTACCAGAGCAATTCATGTCATTTCAGCTACCCTGCCAGATACTCCGCAGCCACCCAGGACTCACAACTCACAGTGTCAGACAAGAGACCACAGGGAACCACCATGGGCTGCTCCCACGGCTCCAGACTGGAAGCCACCCCTTTTAGAAAAGGACAAGGACTAAGAAAGGAAATCAGCACTGGAGCTGCTATGTACTGCGAGCCTGTAGGCATTATCCTGTTCACTGAATCCTCATAGTCACTAGGGAAGTACACCTCATGATGCCCATTGTTCAGATGAGAAAACGAGGCAGGGAGAAGAGGAATAAATTGTGCAAGATTATGCAGTCAGAACATAACCACCCAGAACCCTCCCTGGTGGCGCAACGGGTTGAAGTGCAGCACTAAAAAGCTATAGCAGCCACTACAGCATGAGTTTGATCCCTGGCCAGGGAGGTGACCCACATGGTGTGGCAGACCTCTCCTGACTCATCCGCTGCTCCCCTCAGCAGTGTATTTCAATACAGCTGCCTGTTCAGAATGCTCCCCATTCTGAATCCTCTCATCATCCACACCTCTGTACCCCAATTCTGTATGCATAAATAAATCTTTTTTTTTTTAGGTTTTTTTTATTTATTTGTGCATACAGAACTGGGGTACAGGCCAGAGGCTCAGGGGCGGTGAGAGGCTTCACCAGAGACAGAGTGGGGAACAGAACAGGCAGATCGACGAAGTACACTGCTGAGGGGAGCAGCGGGTCAGGAGGGGTCTGCCACACCATGTGGTCACCTCTGGGGCAGGCCACCAATGCAGGCATTCCTTCCACGACTCAAATTTAACCTCAGAGTAGGCACACTTAAGAGACTCACAGGCAGAGGATAGGGAATAGGGCCAGTCAATGATAGGAAGACACTGGTGAGCTGCAGAAAAGTCAGAAAGCACACACAGCCACAGGCAAGGGTCCAGAATCTACAAGGTAGAGAATATGAGGTCTTGGGTCACCCAAGGGGGTCACGGGGTGAGCCATGCCAAGTAGAGACATGGGGATCACACTTGGCAGCTAAAAATTGCCCAAATGAACCAAGATAGAGTTACTCAGGTGGAGTGAGTGACAGGTACAGACAAACCCTTTTCCAGCATGTGCCTCCTCCACTGATTGAACTGAAGGCATGAAGGCAGGGCAGGAACTGGTAACCTGAGCCCAGAGGGGAAGAGGAGGTCTGTAACCCTCTGACCTCCAGAGACTGAAGGGTCAGACACTTGGCTAGGAGCCTGAAGGGGCCACCAGGGGGACTATTAGGTGACTGCCCCTCCTCC